GGTGGGGTTTTGGTGGGTGATGGGTGATGGTGTGATGGGTGATGGTGTGGTGGTGGGTGGGTGTGGTGTATGGTGTGATGGTGTGATGGTGTGGTGGTGTGGTGGGTGATGGTGTGATGGTGTGATGGTGTGGTGTGTTGGGGGTGGTGTGGTGGTGTGATGTGTGAGGTGGTGTTTGTGATGGTGTGATGGTTGGGGATGGTGTGATGGTGTGATGGTGTGGGTGGTGGGGGGTGGTGTGATGGTGTGATAGTGTGATGGTGTGATGGTGTGTGGTGTGATGGTGTGATGGGGTGATGGTGTGATGGTGTGATGGTGTGGTGGTGTGATGGTGTGATGGTGTGATTGTGTGTGATGGTGTGATGGTGTGATGGTGTGGTGGTGTGATGGTGTGATGGTGGGGATGGTGTGATGGTGTGATGCTGTGATAGTGTGATGGTTTTGATGGTGTGATGGGGTGATGGTGTGATGGTGTGGTGGTGTGTGGGTGATGGTGTGGATGGTGGGTGGTGTGATGGTGTGATGGTGTGATGGTGTGATGGTGTGATGGTGTGGTGGGTGGTGGTGTGATGGTGTGATGGTGTGGTGGTGTGGTGGTGTGATGGTGTGATGGTTTTTGATGGGTTGGGGGGTGTGATGTGTGAGGTGTGGTGGTGTGATGGTTGATGGTGTGATGGTGTGATGGGTGATGGTGTGATGGTGTGTGGTGTGATGGTGTGATGGTGTGGTGGTGTGGTGGTGTGATGTGTGTGATGGTGGGGGTGGTGTGGTGGGTGATGGTGTGATGGTGTGATGGTGTGGTGGTGTGATGGTGTGATGGTGTGATGGTGTGATGGTGTGATGGTGTGATGGTGCGATGGCAATTATGGTGTGATAGTGTGACGGTGTGAAGTTGCTATGCTGTGAAGCAGCGAAACAATGAAGCAACAGTGACGCAACAGTGACGCAGCAGTGACGCAGCAGTGACGCAGCAGTGACGCAGCAGTGACGCAGCAGTGACGCAACAGTGACGCAGCAGTGACGCAGCAGTGATGCAGCAGTGACGCAGCAGTGAAGCCT